ATTGTCAGAGCTAGAAGAGACCTTAGCACATACATTATAAGAGATCAAATGAGGGTGAGGTTGCTTCTAGCTGTGAGGGTCAAGGAAGGATTCACAAAGAAGGTATTATTTGAATTGGGCCTCATTGCGAGGCAATTGGGGGTAAGTGACTTGCTCAGAGTCACACAACTAGTAAGTGTTACATGTGTCTGAGGCCAGATTTGAACTTAGGTCCTTCTAACTACAGGGCCGGTGCTCTATTGAAGAATCTTAAGATCATAGAGTTCAAGCTAGAAGGTATCTCAGAATCCATTGAATCCAATCCCTCATTTTACAAAAGAAGACACTGAGGCTGAGGGAAGGAGAATGACTTGTCCAAGATTGTATAGACAGAAAAGGTGAGATCTAGGATTATAGCCCAGATCTTATAAGTCAGATCTCATGACCTTTCCATTATATCATGTGGCCTCTCTACTCTGGGTATTCACTGGGAAGCCATCAGCTCCCAAAACCCAGTCTAATCCAGGCTACTGAGCCCTCCCCAGAGTTTAAAAGGCCTCAAAGCTTAGAGGCCTCGGAGAAAAGAGGCCAAGTGGTGTAGAGGTGTAGAGGCCAAGCTCAAGGAGAAGTGAAGCCTCTTAGAGTGAAAATCGTTGTTGTTGACATGAGGTACCAAGGTGAAAAGAGCAACAGGGCTGAGATGAGCTGGGAGGGACTCCCCAGAAGAGGAAGAAAGGGGAGAAGAGGGATGTCTTAGAAGGGGAAGAGCTGAAAAGAGAGGGACTTCCCAAAAGGGAACATTGTAATGAGCTTTCTTTGGTTCCCTCTTCATACCTAGGGCTCCAAAGCCTCTATTCCCTTTGTCTTCAGTCTCCTGTCTCTTTTCTGAGCTGTCCTATGTGTGACTCAGGTTGACACTGAGAAATATCAATCAGTCACTGATAAGTTCAGGTGGTGGGCTCAGTCTCCTTTTTTGTCCACCTGAAACTTCAAAGAGTTTGGGGGAAGGGGGAGCAGGGTAAGGCCCCCAGTGTTCCCAACCACTTTTCCTAGGAAAGTCTCCTCCTTTATCCCAATAGAAATATATCAAACACCTTCAGTGGCCCTCTTTTGATGACCAAATAAAGTATAAATTCCTGGCACTAGCATTCAAGATCCTCCTCAATTGATCTTAGTGCCTTTTTTCCAGATTTATATCGCACTACTCCCCACTATAATCTCTGCTGAATGATGCCTCAGCATCCCGCATTCTTATGCTGCCCTCTCCAGTCTCCATGCCTTTACAAATGTCATGAATGGAAGCCTTGTGATCTTCATTGCCACCTGGAGAAGTCCCTTGCTTCCTTCAACACTCATCTCAGACCCCTTCCCAGCTAGAGTTCATTGTAAGATCCATAGAGTCACAGAACTAGAGCTGAGAGGGACCCAGAGATCATCCTGTCCAACTCCATCATTTTACAGGTGAGGGAATGGAGGCCTTAGGAGGTGATATGACTTGTCTGATGGTCACACACTTAGCAAGGGACAGAGTTGGGGTTCTAGTTCTTTCCATAATACCATGATGCCTCCTTGAAAATGATTTCTCCTTTCTCCCATTTGTCAAAGTATTTTACCTGGACACCTCCTTTACGGTTACTTGTAGATGTGTCTTTATCCCCTTCCAAACTTTATTATAAACTTCCTATAGCAGGATGTGTCCTATCTTTGTGTCACCAGTACTCAGCACAATGTCTTAAACACAGTCGACTCTTAAAAAATGTTGATTACAGTCATAGGATCACAGGATTTAAAACAGGAAGGGTCCTTAGAGATCATCTAGTCCAACATCCCTCTACCATTTTACAGATGAAGAAACTGAGGTCTAAAAAGGGGAAGGGATTAATCAAGATCGCATAGGACAGAAGCATGATATGAATGAATGAATGAATGAAGAATGAATGGACTTCATCAGCACATATGGTGGAAAGAGAACTGGACCTGGATTCATGTCCCAGCTCTGTTATTTACAATGTGTATAGCCTTAAAGTTAAAATGAGGGATTGGACCAAAAAACCTATGAATTCCCTTCTGCTTCTAAATCCCATGATCCTATTGGGACCAATGGGCAAGTAGTTTCAGGTTTCTGACAGACTGTGTGAGTCTGGAAGGGAGGTAACAAATAGTCACCCACACTTTCATGGTCTTATGATACTATATCTGCTTACTCAAGATTCACCCCATAGGTTGGCAGCATGGAGAGGCTGTTGGGTACAAATCAGTGCTCTCAGCCATAGCCATGAACAGATTCTGGGCGCTTTGAAAGAGAGGCAACGAAGAACAGACAGCAGCACATACAATAAGAGGCAAGAGGCCTTGGAAAAGAAAGGGGTGCAGGAAGGGGAATGGGACATAGTTAGAGGCATATGGCTTCAAAGAACCTTGCATCCTTCTTCCAGCCTGAGAAACTTGGCTCATCCTTCCTCAAATTTACCAAGGAGCTGCCAAAGTCGCAGAAGACCGAGCACACAGAACAAAGAATGTCAGATTAGGAAGGGACCTTACAGGTCATGTAGATTGACTTTACAGATCATTGGATCATAGATTTAGAGTGAGATGGGGAAGGGAAGGGATTAAACATTTATTAAGCACCTACTATGTATCAGGCACTGTGCCAAGTACTTTGCAGATATTATCACCGACCACCTTGTTATTCAGCTGAAGAAACTGAGGCCCAGAGCCAAGACTAGATTGGGCCTCCTCTCCCATCCCCATCTCCATCCCCATCCCTCTCTTAGAGCCTAGTTTTTTTGTAGGCCTTGGGGCTACTGGCTTGTACTGACCAGCATGCCTGATTGAATGAATCTATCTGCCTGTGTTCTCAGGACCTAGCAGTCCCCATAAACCTCTTTGGACCCAGTGCATGTGTATGTATATGTATGTATGGTGGATTCAGTGGGAGTGGGGAAGGGGAAATGTCAGATAGCTGAGTCCTCAGCTCCCTGGTCTGAATAATGAACTCCTTCTCACCTTCTGCCATAAGGCAGCACCTTGATACCCTGTCATGATAAGGTAGCAAAGAGAGCAGATGGAAACCCATGCAAAGCAACAACAGGCAATTAGTTTTGAGACTGGACAGCCCCTCCCTCCCCATCCCCTACACTCTCAACCGTTTGTTTCGGGGAATATTCTCGTTTCAAAACTTCCCAGGTTTACTCAGAAAGAGTCATTTGAATTGCCTGTAAAAAGCCCCTTTGGTGTAGAGGCAGTTTAGGGGAAGCTAGTAGCCTCAGTGGACCATGAATCCCTCCCCTAACTGTTCACTGAGCCATGGTAGCCTGTAGCAAATGGGCAGAAAGGATGAAACAGCTCCTGGACACTGAAGACAACTCTCTGGGCCCCTTCTCTCCCTGAGACTCCTAACAATATCTAAAGCTTTCTCTTCTCTTCTCTTTCACAAACCACTCACAGTTCTTCTGTCTAGATGTAGCTGTTTTGCCTGCTCAAGGCCATGTTAGCCTCTGTCCCACCTCCCTTCCCCTTCCCTACATGCCCCCTCTCCTCCCATCTTTTCTCCTCTTCTGGAGGCATGACCCCTCCTGAGATCATAAATGAGATATGATAGATTCTAGGGTCAAAGATTTTGAGCTGAAATCCTCAGGAGTCATTTAATCCAATATTCCTTTTTTATAGATCAAGAAATCTAAGGTCATTCAGGTACTAAGTAGCAAAAAAAAAAAAGTGATTCAAAGCTACGGTGAGTACAGAAGGGAACCCTACTAGAATGTCGCCACACATTAGCCTAGCTTGTACCCCAAGCATTCCTGACCATCACCCTCCTTAACCTTTGAAGAGCCACTGAGAAATTTGTCAACAAAGTGGATTCATCACCAGACCTAGCTTAGAGACCATAAGTAACATCTTCACAATTATCTCTAATATCTATACAGGGACTGAGAGTTTCCAAGGCATTTTATATCTCATTTAATCTTTGCTGTGCCAAGGATTATTATCCCCATTTTATTGACGAGAAAACCTAGAGAAGTTAATAAAAGGCCCTGCCCAAGTTCTTGTAGCTAAGTAAGTATCAGAGTCGGGTTTTAAACCCGGGTCTCTTGATGCTGAACCCAATACTTTTCCTACTTCATCATTTTATTAAGAATAAAGATTTCCTGCTAATAGTGTGAATATCTATATCAGAGCTCACACCTGGCATCTACTTTGCCTTCCAGGGCTCCACAGCTCAGGTTCTCCAGAAAAAGCTAGACCACTATTTATTGGGCATGTTCCAATTTGGAGATTCTGTGATTCAGGGCTGTGAGATTGGCCAGAAGATACTGTTTCCTTTAAGAGGGCTCCTAATCAGTCTCTGTTTTTCTCTTCTCCCACGGCTTACAAACCGACTGCCTTCTGTCCTGGTCTCCACCAGAGTTGCTGTTGAGAGGCAGCGGTGAGGAGCCCAGTGATTCACCTCGTCTCCTCTTCCTCTCTCTCCAGGTTACGAAGGTTCCTATCTCAAAGATTTTAGGGCATGTAATGCTACAAGGACTAACTCTGCAGTCAGAAGACCTAAGTTCCGAATTCTTCCTTTGACCCTCCCCATTTGACCTCGGGCAAGTCTCTTAATCTCCAAGAGCATCAGTTTCTTCATCTGCAAAATGAGGGGGGTTGGATCAGATATGACCTCTGAGATCCCTTGTAGCTCGAGATCTATGATGCTTCCATTCTGTGACTTCTCTTGGGACCTTGGCCCCCTACCCTGGCTCCAGCCCTCTTTGGGTTTACCTGTTGGTTCCTTCCCTGAAGCTGCAGATCTGCTATTCCACCATCAGTGTGGGTCCCGGCCCCAGTGCCTCTGCGGCTTAAAACAAAGGCTAAGAGATGAAAAGAGATGCTCCGACGTAGCCTCAGCCTGTGGGAGCTAGAGGCCTGGGAGAGACCCATGGAGAGTCCCACATCCCCCACAGACTGCGGGGTGAGAAAGGGATTTCTATCTCCTATTGAAAGGGACAGAGACCAGAGATCTGTGTGCAGCTGCTATCTGAGAGGAGGTGCTACGGAAACCTCATCAGGGAAAAGTGATTGGCTCATAGTCATCACTTGCCTTTGCCAATAGAGTCTTAAGGTCTACAAAGTACTTTTCCCCGCCTCACAACCACACCGTGCCGAGAGTAGTATATACACAAAAAGCTCCATTTTACAGAGGAGAAAACCAAGGCTTGGGGAGATGAGACTCCCCCAGGGTCATACAGCTAGGAAATGGCTTGAGTCCAGTGTTGAAACTCAGGTCTGGCTCCAGTTTCTTTGGTCTTTTTTATTATACCAGGGAGTCAGCCTTCTCTCAGTGACTCTTCTCTGCCCTCCTCTCTTGGTGACCTCTCCTTCTGATATATAGCCCCCTCCCCAATCCATGCTAAGTGGGCAGTAATCTAAAAGATGCCGCGTCTCCCTTTCAAAGTATCCCAGGAGAGGTGTATTGGAGATAACGGAAAGATTGCTGGATTTGGAGTTGGGGGACCAGCATCAGGCAAGACACTTACCCTTTCTGAACTTCAGTTTCCTCATCTGCAAAATGAGAGAAAAGCACCTTCTTCACAGCAACCCTGAGAGAAGAAACAATGTCTGGTCTCTTGCTTCTGCAGGTTCCCATGATCTCATCACCTTCCCTTCTTCCAGGCTATTTTCCTGGGAGAGTGCCTGCACCTTCTGGGAGCTTTAGGGAAGACCATCCAGGGCATATGCATCCAGTCCATTACTAACTGCCAAACAAATCCCAAGATTCATAGGAACAAAGTCCCCTCCAAACACCAGTGCTACAGGCTAGTGCAAGCCTTATTATCCCTCCCTCTCAGAAAAAGCAGTCTCTGAACTACAAGAGACAAGTCTTGGGGTCATTTCAGCCATTCTTCTGTCTCCACCTCCCTCAAGCCAACTTGACCTTATGTCACTAAAACAATGTCAAAAAATTCACTCTGATCTTTCCCTTTCTTCTCTTCCCCTTGGTGCCCTACCCCAAACCACAGGATTATAATCTCTAGTTGAGGAAAAGAACACCATCTCACATCTCTGATACAGTTATCCTATGAATCAAGTGTTTCTGACTAGCCACAAATCCAGGGCCGGGGGTCCCAGTGATGAGACAGAACAGGAATTACCTGGCTCTTTTTTCTCTCAGATATCCATTCCACCTATACCGAGTAATCCAAGGGGCGCCCTGGGTCTTCGGGAGGGAGGGAGGGCAAACTAGCCAGTTGAGGTAAAGGTGAGATTTCAGGGAGTGGGGCTAGGCCAGCTGAGGTTCTCAGCTCAAGGACAGGAGGACCCTCTGGAATCTATGGTCTGGCTATTGCCCTCATTCAGTTAGCCAGGCAAGCAAGCAGCCAGCCAGCCAGCCAGCCATCCACACAACCAGACTGTTAATTAGCTCCCTGGCAGACCACAGGCAAGGAGGATGTGGTGAGGTCCTCAGTACATCCCCGCCCACAGAGCTTTGCTCATTCATAGTCATCTGTCACTGTGAGAAAGAGGTGGGAGAGGTCCCAGGCACCAGGCAACCTGCCTTGCTAAAAGGTCACTGGAGGACAAGGTTTTGAGGCTGGGGACTGCCGCAGCTGGGGACTGCCGAGGCCGGGGAAGCTGGTAGTTACCGCTCTCTAGCAAGACACAGCTGGAGTCTTGGTTCTCAAATACGATGATAATTACTGACACATTTTACAGTTTTTACAGTCACACATTTTACAGTTTCCACAGTTTCCATGCTTTATCTCATTCAACGTTCACAGCAACCTGTTTTGGAGGTGGGGGGAACACAGTAAATCAAGTGTTACTTTTTTTCCAATTTTGCAGATGAAGAAAATGAGACTTAGAGAGGCATGGAAAGAGAATTTGATTCAGAGGCAGAGGACCTGAGTTCAAATCTGACCCCTACTGCTTTGTACCCATGTGACCTTGGGCAAGTCATTATAATCCCTCTGAGCCATCTTCTCTAAAGTGAGGAGCCTGGGTTAAATCTGGGGTTCTTAACCTGGGATTCAAGAACTTGAAGTTAGAAAAAAAAACTGATAACTGTACTTCAATAGGCTTAATTTCCTTTGTGATCCTATACCTTTCATTTTATGCATTTAAAAACATTGGCTTCACCACATCAACAAAGGGGTCCAGGGCAAAAAATAAGTTAAGAAACCCTGGATCACTTTAAGTTCCCTCCCAAGTTAAAAAAAAATCCAGAGATTCTGCAGGAAGGATCCTCCAAAAGACTGGACTAGATCAATGATGTCAAACTCAGATAGAAATGGGGGCCATTACACAGGTACATAAGGATCTTTGCATGCCATGTACTGTCTTAGAAAACCACAAATTAACATTATCTATGCTCTATTGTATTTTTATTTATTTTGTTAAATATTTTCCAATTACATTTTAAAAAAATAATTATGCTTTATTTTTCTTAACCTTCATTTTTAAAAATTCTGAGTTTCAAATTCTCTCCCTTTCCAGCCCCTCCTCCACCCATTAAGAAGGCCTACAGTGTGATATCAAATATACATGTAGGCAAGGCACATTTCCATATTAACCATATTGTGGAAAAAAAGCAAGAAAAATAAAGTATGTTTCAATCTGCACTTGTAGTTCATCAGTTCTGTCTCTGGAGGTGAATACCATTTTTCATCCTGAGTTTTCTGGAATTGTCTTGGATTATTATCTTGATCAGAGTAGCTAAGTCTTTCCCAGTTGATCGTTGTTACAATATTGCTGTTACTATGTACAATGTTCTCCTGGTTCTGCTTACTTCACTTTGCATCAGTTCATAGGAGTCTTCCCAGGTATTTCTGAAAGCATCCTGTTCATCATTTCTTCTAGCACAATAATATTCCATCACAATCATATACTACAATTTGTTTGGCCATTCCCAATTACATTTTAATCTGATTTGGGGCTGCATTCTGGAGTCTTGCAGGTCAAGTGTGTGACATCTCTGTGACACTTGGACTTTCAAGTCTAAGGTCACATAAAATATATACTGGGCTAGCCAGATAGCTAGAGCTGGGGTCTTCTGATTCCTAAGTCAACATTCTTTCTACTCTGTTACCTCTCAACAGACTGGGAAACTGAGTCAAAACTGACAAGATGAAATGGAAGAGGAATGCATTTAAAGTACTGCTCTCAGGTTCAAAAAATCAATTGCATGAGTATAGGGTGAAGAAAGCAGCTTGATAGCAGTTCATGCGAAAAATAATCTGGGGTTTTTATTCACCCCCAAGTTGTATTTGAGCCAACAGTGTGATGGGGCTGCATTTACATAAGTATAATGTCCTGATCAAAGGAGCTGATTAGTGTCACTGTCCTCTGTAATGTGGGGTATGGTCAAACCATACCTGGAGGAGTGTGTTCATTTCTTGGCCCTACATTTTAAGAAGGATCTTGGCAAGCTGAAGTAGTCTGAAATCACAGAATCTAAGAGATGGATTCCACTTAATCTTAGTGACTTCCCTTCTGAGATTATCTCCAATTCATCCTGTCTATAGCTTGTCTGTCCATAGTTGTATGCATGTTGTCTCCTCCATTAGACTGTGAGCTCCTTGAGAGCAAGGACTATCTTTTGTCTTTTTTCTTTTTGTATCCGCAGTGTGTAGTACAATGGCTGGCACATAGTAGGTGCTTCATTAATGCTTATTGGCAGTAAGTAACACTTACTGACTAGATGGGACTTCAGAGGCCATCTAGTTCAAGCAAGGCTGATCAAAAAAACCTTTCTACAACATTACTGACAAATTGTGTTTGAGCTTCCTTCCCAAATGCAGACCTCACTCGAGAGCGACCATGACCTCCTAAGACAGTCTATTCTATTTTTGAACACCTTAAGTTCTTTTTTAAAATAAAATTTAATTCTTTTTCAAGTATCAAGAATTTATTTTTGCTCCCTCTCACTTCCTTCATCACTAGGAAAGGGAGGAAGGAAAGAAGAAAGACAGAGATAAAGAAAAAGAGAAAAGAGGGAGGAATGGAGGGAGGTAAGAAGGAAGAAAGGTAGTAAAGAAGAAAGGAAGGAAAGAAAAAAGGAAGAAAGGAACAGAGAAATAGAAGAGAAGGAAAACCCTTGTAACAAATAAGAATTGTCAAGCAAAACTAATTCCCACATTGGCCATGTCAAAAAATATGTTTCTTTCTGCATATTTAGACCATCAACTCTCCATCAGGAAGCCAGCAGCACTCTTCCTCATCAGGCGTCTGGAATCATGTTTGGTTGGATTTCTAATTTTTATTTATTTATTTTTAGTCAGATTTCTTAAATCTTTCAAAGTTGTTGGTTTTTGTGGTGTTGATGTTACAATATAAATAGTTCTTCTGGTTCTGCTCACTTGCCTTTACATCAGCTCACACAATGCTTCTTAGGTTTCTTTGGAACTATCTCATGTTATTTTTTTTCTTTTTAGGCAATTGGGGTTAAGTGACTTGCCCAGGGTCACACAGCTAGAAAGTGTGAAGTGTTTGGTCTGTGGCCGGATTTGAACTCAGGTCCTCCTGACTTCAGGACCAAGTGCTCTATCCACTGTGCCACCTAGCTGCCCCGAGTCATGTTATTTTTTACAGCATAATAGCATTCCATACACTAATTTGTTCAGCCATTTCCCAAAGCTTAGTTTTTAAATCTTTGCTACTACAAAAAGTTGTTATTAATATTTTTGTGCTAATAGATACTTTTCCTCTTTCTTTGATCTCTTTGAGGTTTAAGCCTAGTAGTGGCATCTCTGGGTCAAAGGAATAGTAACAGTTTAGTAACTTTTGGGGCATAGTTGTGCTCTCTTGAATTTTTTTTTTTTACATTTTTTTTGATGAACAAAAATCCACCTTCTTTCCCTCCCTCTTCTCCATTAAAAAATGAACGAAAAACAAAACCCTTTAACAAATATTTATAGTCAAGCAAAACAAATTCCCACATTGGCCATATCCAAAAAATACACAAATCTCAAGTGGAACCCTGACTCTATCACCACTCTGTCTGGGAGCAGTTAGTATGTTTCATCCTGAGTCCTATGGCATTGAGCTGATCAGAGTTTCCCTGTCTCTCGTCTTTCCCTATTGAGTGAAATATATTTCTGCATCCAATCATATGTGTATATTTCCTTCATTTGACTAGTTCAAATGAAAGGGAATTTCAAGTGTTGCCTGCTCCTTTCACCCTTTTCCCTCATTTTATAGTCTTCTCTCTGCACATCTAAATTATGAGATAATTTCCCTCACTCTTCTTCTCCCTCCACCTCTCCCACCCTTTGTTGTTGGACCCGAGTTATCAGACTCCCTGGTGCCTAGAAAAATGCAATGACTTTCCTCAGGTACAATGTATATCTTAGAGCTGCTTCATGACTTAAAGATAACACCAGATGTCTTGGTATCTTCCCAAGAGTTGAACATATGGTAGATAACAGTTTTTCCCTTTAATTATGACTTTAACTCAGAGGGACAGCTAAATTCCTAGGTTCAACTCAAGGGCATAGAAAGCGGACTTGAGCAGATACAGAATCAATTACAAAATTAAATCAATATAATATAGTATTAATTACAAAGTAGACTTAATTTGAATTTCTCAGGGGCAGGTGAGGAGAAACATCTGATATCTTTCATGCTTGTCCTGTGGACAAGCTAGAGAGATATTGCCTGGATGAGAGAACAATTAAATGGATTTGGAAGTGGTTTAATGAGTAGCCCCAAAGAATGGTCTTAATAAATTGATATTAACTTAGAAGGAGTTATTAGTTGGGTGGAATGCCCTGTGCTATTCAGTTTTGTTTTGTTTTTTTGTCTAGGACTGGGATGATGACAAAGGAACATGCTCCTCAAATCTGGAAATGACAAGAAGTTGGAAGGGATGGCTAATTCATTATATTACAGAGCTAGAATTCTAAAACATCTCAATAAGTTAGAAAAATGGATCTGACCACATTAGATGAAATTTAATAGGGTTAAATATAAAGTTCTATCCTCAGGTTCAAAACAATCAACTTTGTTGTTGTAGAAGTAATGATTTAATAACTATAAGCAAGACAAAACAATAGAATTGTGCTTCTTTTGCAGCCTGGAGACAATGAAATGTTTAGCTACAATTTTCCCATACAAACATGAAACAATATTCATATATAATAATGAATATAGAATATGTTCATATAGAATATTCTATGTAAAATATAGAATAATACCTTCACAAATGTGTAACTTATGGGTGATGAACCACACAAAGTTTGACCAAAGCAAAGCACAAATTGAAAATAATTGGGCAGTTCATATTTTAAATTTAACATGCTCTTTGTACTTAAAATTAATAAAATTAGGAGCTTAAAAGTTGCTCTTATTTACAGACATTTAAAGAGAAGGCATTTGTCTTCGGAAATAATGACATCCCTATTAAATTTGAAATTAGTAC